ATTTAAATATTATGCTTACATTTAACAAAATTTATAACAGTTATTGGAGTTAATAAAAATATTTATTTAAAAAAATAAAGTCCTAAGAATTTATAAAATTAATAAAAACATATCGTTGCAAAATAGGCATTTTTAAAATAGGTTTGTTACAAGGTTTTACAAAAGATTCGACGATATAATAATTAGTTAATTTAAATATTTTATATTAAGGAATGCGTACATTATACCAAATCTAGCTATAGAATAAATCGAAGAATACCTAGCAGATCCGGTAGCTCAAACGCCGTTGATATAGTGGATTGGTGGTGTAGAAACTCGAAACGTTTTCCAAAGCTCTCGACAATGGCCAAAGATTACTTATCCCAACAATCTACGTCCGTAGCCAGCGAACGTATTTTTTCTAGGGCCGGCGCCACTATTACTAAGAAAAGGAATCGAATGTCAGCGACAACTTTGAAACAATGACTATGTGTGAATTCGTGGGATGTTAACATTTTAAATTTGCGCGAAGAATATTTTATGTAATTTATTTTATGAATATAAAATTTTTATTTTTTATTTATGAAAATAATAAAGATATTGAAAATGTGGCGTATTATATATTTTGTATTTGCAAATTTTTTGCTTATAAAATGTAAAATAGCCTATTTACGATAAATAAATAATTCTAAAGATATCTTATAAATTAAAAATTGTTATTATAATTTCCAAAAAGAAAGGGAGAGGGGTTCATAAATAAAAATAATTTAATTCCTAATTAGTAGCATCTCTTAAGATCTAAATGTTTCAAAATTTTGTCTATGATAATATTTTTAAGCACGAATATTATGCTTTTGGATAAGTCATTCACACAATTACCAAAGAAAAAAAAATCAATTTAAAATTATAATTTATAATGAAGCAGTGGTAGATAGTATTTATGGGGTAAGGACTGTAGTAATAGGAATTTATTATGATTTATGATTACATATTATAGATATTGATGATAAGTTTTTTATTGATTATATATATAGATATTTATGAATATAATAATTTGTAAGGTTCAATGCCTAACAGATATAAGGGAAACATTGTTATTTTTATGATGTAACTTCATATGAATGAATAATGGACGTCCGAGAATTGCATGTATGTAATTTAAATACACTAATATTACGAATGAATGGAACATATAAATTGGCGTATTATGGCTGAATCAACTCGTTATTTAAATAATATGTAAATATAATAAATGTTTGTAAAACTCATAAATTATAAAAAATAGTTCAAAATTTGTAATTATTTCCAAGATCTTAAATCAAATAATTATAATCTTGCGTTTCAAATTTCCCAAATTTGATGTAAAATATGTCAAGTAATTATATAAAAGAAATTTATCATATTTTAAAATTAGGGAAAATTCATTTATCCGAATGCCGTAAATTTAAAAATGGGATCCTTGCTGAACTTGTCCCGTCTTTTCTTATTAACTACCAATCTCCTGAATAGTTTCAAATGATATACTCATATTTTATACCCTCAACCCCAAGTTAAAAAAAAGAATAAAATAATAGCAGTATTAAAATTTTACGAGACCCTAAGGCTTAGAATATTTTTCTAATATCAAAAACTTTTTGCATGGCTCAAAACAAGTATATAATATTTTATTTATAGATTTTTATGCATGAAGTTAAAAAGTAATGAAATTAGAAATTACTTAATGAACCCAAAAGTTTTAAAACATCTTTCCAATATCAAATTTATATAAATAAACTTAAAACAAAGATCTAAAATATAATTTTTCGTCGTCGAATAAATTATAATGGCAGTGACACCATATTAATGTTCCAAAGGTTTAAAAAAATCTTTATAATATCATAAACTTTTTATTGGGTTCTAACATAAAGAAATAGTTTTTTTTATCATTTTACAATTCACACATAAAGTTTAGAAAAATGGCACTATAAATTTATATATAAACATAAAAGTTTTGAACATCTTTTCAATATTAAAAACTATTAACTAGGATAAAAACAAAGTTTTATAAAATTTTCATAATTTTTTCCTCGTGGACTAAATTATAATAACAGTGATAATTTCTTACTAAACCCAAAAGTTTTAGATCATTTTTTGGTATTAAAATTTTTACTAGGCTTAAGACAAATTTTTTTTTTTATAATTTTGTTCCTCGTGGTAAAATATAGTGGAAGTGACAATTTATTACTATATTCAAAATTTTTAGAACATCTCAGTGTTAATAACTTTAAACTACGCTTAAAATAAATTTAAAAAAAATTTTAACATTAATTTTTCCTAGTGGAGTAAAATATAATTGCCGTGCCCATTCATTACTAGACCGAAAGGTTCTTAAACATCTTTTAATACATAATATTCAAAGGTTTAAAACAACATCTTAAAAAAATGCATAATTTTTTCCCTCGTGGTAAAATATAGTGGAAGTGCCAATTTATTACTAGACTTAATAGAACATCTCTTTAGTATGAAAAACTTTAAACTACCCTTAAAATAAATTTTTTAAAAATTTTAACATATTTTTTCCTCTTGGAGTAAAATATAATGGCAGTGCCAATTTATTACTAGACTCAGAGGTATTAAAACATCTTTTTAGTATCAAAAACGCTTAACTTAACTTAAAACAACGTTTTAAAAAATTTCCTTCTTTCCTTGAGGAACACAATAAAATGGCAGTCCCAATTTATTATTAGACTTGATATTTTATAACATGTTTTTACCATAAATAAAAAACTTTTAACAAGTATTAAAACAACATTTAAAAAAAAATCATAAATTTTTTCCTCGTGGAGTAAAATATGATAGTGGCAACTTATTACTAGACCCAAAAGTTTATGGATATCTTTCCAGTATCAAAAACTTTTAATTAGGCTTTAATAAAATTTTAAAAAATTTTCATAATTATTTTTCCTCGTGGGGTAAAATATAATAATAGTGCCAATTTATTACTAACCCAAAAGTTTTAGGACATCTTTCTAATATCAAAAACCATAAATTAGGCCTAAATATTTTTTTAAATTTTCACATTTATTGTTTCCTCGTGGAGTATAATATAATGGCAGTGTTCATTTATTACTAGTCCCAAAGGTTTTAGAACATTATACTAGTATCTAAAACTTTTAACTAGGCTTAAGATATGATTTTATTTACAATTTATTTTTTCCTCATGGAATAAGATATAATAACAGTGACAATTTATTACTAGAACCAAAGATTTTTGAACATCTTTCTAATATCAAAAACATTGAACCCGGATTAAAACAAACTGGTTTAATTAATATATATTTTTTTGACCCAGTTAGCCAACCCAACAGGACGACCCAGCACGCGAACCCAGCATGCCGACCAGATGGGTCGGCTCATGAGACCTTATGGCGGGTCGGGTCTGATCTATGGCTAAATTGGTTTGCTCGGGTTAAGGGTCGTTTTTCTCGGCTCAAACCTTGCTGGGTTTTCGGCCAAGCCGACCCGATCGGGCAATTTAACAACACTAGATTTGGAGAATGCATATGTACTGTCCAGAAATTATTAAATATTTTAATGATTTACATAATACATTTTATCAATGTTTTATCTTTTAAAATAAATAAATATTTAATATGACTATTTATGTTTTTACTGGAGCCTCTATCTGACAAAATATTTTCTTCGGGGCAAATTCCCCCCCCCCTCTCCAACTTATATCTACCCGTCTAAATAAAAATCCACCGTCATCGGCTAATATTCTTCCGCTAATAATCACAAGTTTTTTCATTAAGTGCCGTATTTTCTTCATAATTATAAAAAAAATTACTTAAATTATCAAACTGCAAACTATAAAAAATTGTGAATCTAAAATAGTTTTAGATTATGAATTAAAAACCCTTTTCTCATCAACAATGCATTTATATATGTTTTTATCATATTCTAATAATAAGTTTAACATGCGCTAAAATAGAGAAATTACCCAGCAGAAGACATATATTATTTAATAATTAATGCACTTATGTATTTTAGCTTCCGACATTTAATTTCTCCATTTTCATAATAGGAAATATATATCATATAAATATATACATAAAATATTAGGAAGTTTATCGTACATAATTATTATACTCATCATACATTATAAAACATATAATAAAATATCCATATATATAATCATTAGTAACTGACAAATATAACACATAATATGTAAATAAAATATTACAATAAATTACTCTTTTACTACATGCACCACTTAAATATATATATATAAGGCTTCACCCTCTACCCCAGTTCAGGATTTTTTTAAAACTCAGCCAACTTCGGCCATACATGTAGGGTTCTATCTCCTAAAAATAATCCTAGATGAAATGGCTTATTAACAGATTTTAATTTAGATATTAATGTCCAAGCAGCGCTTTTAATAATTTAATATTGGGAACACTCAAGTAATTCAGCTGTAAATATAACTTTTTTCCGAGGATATGAGTAGATATTTGATTTAATAACTCTTAAAATCGCAGATTGATGAACAAGTCTATTCTAAATAATATTTTTGATTGATAATAACAATTATACTCGATTATAAATTAATTAAAAAGGATTAAAACTTGGATTATAGTAAAAATATTTATCTAATTCCAAAGGAATTTAATCAACTTAATAAATTTTAAAAAAATCAAACACATTGTCAACTTGCAGTAGTTGATTAGAATGGAAGATATATTTAAAAAATAATTATTAAATGTTAAAACACATGTCATAATACAAATGTGACACAAACAAGTTTTCCATTTTATTAATTAATTCCAAAAGTCACCTCGTAACGATTCATTCTTAGAAAATTTGAGCAAATATAAAATAAAAAAAAATCTATAAATGCAGTGCAGTTTATATGTATAATATTTTGAATATAAATTTTAAAAAATAATCTAAAAAGCAAATAAATAATTTTTTTCATGAGGCTGAGATTCGATAATCAACGTAGATTTGATATACTAATTTTTAAAAATGTATATAATTTTTATAAAAAATTATTTAAACGCGTATATAAAATTTCGCTTCAATCATAATTTTTAAAATATCGTATAATAAATAAGACTCACGCAAAAATGCAAAAGTTTCAATTCAAAAATATTTCTTTTTTTTTCGCGAAACTAAAATAATATGTACATACTATTATTTATCATCTTATTAATATCTAACATCAATAATAAAATGCAATAAACATAAAATGGTAAAAATAAATTACTTAGAAAATTATAAGATAACATGATTATCATGACTGTCGACGACGACTTCAATCAATCCAATATCTTTCGAATAAATAACATTCTCTCCCATAATATCTTCTATAACATCCAAATCCTGTCGCCTTAAATGCGTGTCTGAAGTGATAAAGTTATGGTCCGTTTTGTCGAAATTATTGACTAATTTGCCCAAGTTTTCACCTGTGTGGTGAAGTTGTTCTTCTTTGGGAGAATCTTTATAACGATTCGCGGTACATGTTTGAGGCGTGGACAGGTAGTTGTTAGCTTCGCCGCCATCTTCAATAAAACTGACGTCGGTAATGTTAACACTAGGTGTGTCATCTTGTTGGCCGTCACTCATTTTGACGTTACCCTGAACGTTTTCTTTATCGCTATGACAATTATCGTATGTATTAGTCCTATTACGATGAATTCCCTTTTTTGGGAGAGATAATCGAAATGATTTGGGAGTGCGAAGCGAATTTCCGGCATAAAACGTCTCCACAAAAGATTTTTTGTCGTCGTTGATATTTTTATCATCCGAAATTATGGGCAAAGCGAGATATTTTTGCAAATATCTCCCCAGGCACCTATACAAAAAGGCGTATTGATGCTCGTTTTGAATCATACCGGGCCGGAAGCGTCTCATTTCCTTGACGGATTCGAATATATCGATCTTGTTACAATCGGAATGAGATATCAATTGAATCATACGATCCAAGCAGATGAAAGCCCCGCTTCTACCCACTCCGGCACTATAGAAAGAGAAATGAAGAAAAAAAAACATATATGACTATATAATTTTAATATAAAGTGACTTTGTGAGGACGATTATGTTGAGGGAAAAGAAGGTTTACTCGGCATTTTATCTTTTCGTATTTATCAAGTTAGCCTTAAACTCCTCATAAATATATAATAAATTAAAAAATCAGTTAATATTGTGGGCTCAGACAATTTTAGAATGTAATTTGAACAAACTATATAAGCAGGTACCATGATATTGTATATCCTCATAAAGATGAGTTTCTCTGTTAAGTACCTATAAGGTTTTGCAATCTTTATCATCACAATATATAAGCTAGTGGTTGGAGATTCTCATTTCTTTAAAAAAAATTTTAAAAATATTTTATTAAAACCTGCAATGAACAGTAATCGGTCTTTTTCCGTATGGTATTTGACGGCGAAAACTAAGAATAAAATCTAAGACAGTGTCTGGGTCTTGAGGAATCCCAAAATCTGGCCAAGCTTTATAATAGAAATGTTTTACCAGTCTGAATTGCGAACCCTTCAATTTTGTATTTAAAAAAAAAAGGATTTTATATAGAAAAAATATATTTTATTCGTCATATATCTTCTAAAACTTCTTTAAAACGCCCGGAACAGAATATATGGAGTTGAGAAACAATAGATTTTGAATTTTAAACACAAAACAAAGATTATAACAAAAAAACTTAACCTTTTTTAATTTAATTAAAAAGAGGAAGTTAGTTCACAACGTCCTGCAAAACCGGCCCAAATTTTTTAAGATAGTTTTTTAAACTATAAATTTTTGGGTACGGTTTTTTTTGTAGGAGATACAGTTACAAGAATACCAAAATAAATCTAGATTATTTAGATAATATAATTATTTTAATTTTTTAAATCCAAAAATAGTACATGCAAAAAAATATTTCTTCAGGACTTTTCTATTTTTTGCCATAATTTACAGCCGGAAACGATCATTACAGCCTCGGGTTTTTACTTATTAGATAATATAGCCATACTTTGAAAAGGGTATATAAAATTAACTCGCGTCTACGCGTAGAGGATTTTCTTTGGCACGCGTCTATAGAATGAGGTACAGCACCAATTCATATTTAAATACATACCCTATCTGTCTTTTCCAGGAACCCCCAACAAAAAATTCAACAGATTTGAAACTAATAAATATCAAAAAAAAATATGAGACTGAGGAACCAGAGATAGCTTAATGCGGAAATCTTTAAATGTACAACTCAGGATTAGGAAAGAGAGAGAGAGTAAAAAAATAAATCATTTATATACAACCAAATTTAATGGATAAGGTAAAATTTAAGAAATCGTTCTATCTTACCAAAGTTATTTTGATATCAGTCTCGATCCAATGTTCGAAATGAATTTCATTTGAGATATCGACAAGTATATCGCCATACAACTTTTCTTCGCTATCACTAGTAGGCCAATACCTTACGCATTTGTCCTAAATCACAAATTTAATAAATATATATTTTTTTAAAATCTTCAGTTAAACTCGTTTGAATTCCGAAACAAAAAATCAACAGAATTGATCAAATAATTACTGTATGAGTGTTCCGATATTTTAATAAATAAAATCTATACCTCTAAAAAAAGAAACCAATAAATCTCTAACAAATCATCATCCTTTAAATAATGTCTGCGCAAGAATTATAGAATCCTACTCAAAAATTCAATTTTTTGGGGAAAAAATTTAATAAATCTCACCTTTCCGGATTCGTTGAAGCGAGTCAACATGAGTATCACGCGACAATTCTGTTCCCAAATCATTCGCCAAAAGTCGACTATAGTTCGGATGAGTGGGCCCTGAGTAGCGATATACTCTTGCTTCGAATTGAGACCCTTTTAGAATTTATAGTAATGTATATATCTTGTAAATGATATTTATATCCGAATTTTCGCATTTATTCATGCATTATACACAATACATTTTTTTTTTAAAAAAAAAACAGATCTTAATAGATCAGAAAATGGTCCTTTCAGAAGGTCCGTGAAGTTGGCCGAACAATTGAAGCACTAACGATGAATCATATGTCATTTTTTAGTGCTTGTTAGTGCTTCAATCCGTATAGTAGCTGAATTTAATGAAAAAAAGTTATAAGCAAAAATAAAAATTTGTGCCAACTTCACGCTTAAAAGTCGATTGGAAGCACTAACGATGAAACTAATATCATTCTTTAGTGCTTCGTTAGTAGAGGTTAGTGCTTCAATCAGTTCCGAAGCCGAATTTAAGAATAAAAAGTTATTAGCAATATAAAAACTATGACGTCACGATTTAGGCGTGAAGTTGGCCAAACTTTTGGAAGCACTAACGATGAAATTTATATCATTCTTTAGTGCTTCGTTAGTAGAGGTTAGTGCTTCAATCAGTTCCGTAGCCGAATTTAAGAATAAAAAGTTATTCACGAAAAAAACAAAAATAAACAAATAATGGCGACGTGCCAAAACAAAAACTAGAGTAGTACTAAACATCCGGTTTTCGCTATTATTTAGTGCTTATTTAGTATATTTAAATTCCGTAATTTATTTTATTAACCGTCATATGAAAAAATTGTAACACGCTAAATAAATTTTTAGAGGTCAAATTTCGGCTAGAAAATTATGAAAGCACTAACGATGAAACATATATCAATTTTTAGTGCTTGTTAGTGCTTCAATCCGTATAGTAGCCGAATTAAAGAAAAAAAAGTTATAAGCAGAAATAAAAATTTGTGCCAACTTCACGCTTAAAAGTCGATTGGAAGCACTAACGATGAAACTAATATCATTCTTTAGTGCTTCGTTAGTAGAGGTTAGTGTTTCAATCTATTTTGTAGCCGAATTTATGAATAAAAAGTTATTCACGAAAAAAACAAAAATAAACAAATATTGGCGACGTGCCAAAACAAAAACTATAGGTGTACTAAACATCCGGTTTTCGCCATTATTTAGTGCTTAATTAATGTATTTATATTCCATTATTAATTTACTTAACCGCCTTATAAAAAAAGTTATAAGGTAAATAAAAACTATGACGTCACGATTTAGGCGTGAAGTTGGCCGAACTTTTGGAAGCACTAACGATGAAACTTATATCATTCTTTAGTGCTTCGTTAGTAGAGGTTAGTGCTTCAATCAGTTCCGTAGCCGAATTTAAGAATAAAGTTATTCACGAAATAAACAAATAATGGCGACGTGCCAAAACAAACACAAACACTATAGGAGTTCTAAACATCCGGTTTTGGCCATTATTTAGTGCTTAATTAGTATTTTTAAATTCTGTAATTTATTTTGTTAACCGTCATATGAAAAAATTGTAACACGCAAAAGAAATTTTTAGAGGTCAAATTTCGGCTAGAAAATTATGAAAGCACTAACGATGAAACATATATCATTCTTTAGTGCTTCGTTAGTAGAGGTTAGTGCTTCAATCAGTTTTGTAGCTGAATTTAAGAATAAAAAGTTATTTGCGAAAAAAAAAATAATGGCGACGTGCCAAAACAAATAATGGCGACGTGCCAAAACAAAAACTATGATAGTACTAAACATCCGGTTTTCGCCATTATTTAGTGCTTAATTAGTATATTTATTATCCGTAATTTATTTTGTTAACCGTTATGAAAAAATTGTAACAAGCTTAAATAATTTTTAGAGGTCAAATTTCGGCTAGAAAATTATGAAATTTTTTAAATTTAGAAAATATAAATTTAAAATTTTTTTTTCTTCAAATATAGTTGAATATTTTATTTTGTGTATATAATAATCTATAATGACAAGTAAAAACACAATACATATAATAATAATTATAACATACATAATGTTAATTTTGTGAGAAAATATTATATTTTAAAATTGTATTCTCGTTTTAGTTTTGAGTATGAGTGTTCGGAAATTGGCATCTTTTATTTTTATATAAATAGAGAAAAGATAAAAATATATTTAAATTAATCCCGACAACCAAGTTCCAAAAAATCATGCATATGATTATAAAAGTTTGTAAAATTGTACGTATGTACCGATTTAATATCGAAGCAGTGGCGTATCAAGGATTTTCCTGTAGGGGGAGGGGGAATTTTTTCCTAATCTCCCTTAGCTGTACCTAGGCCAGCTTTCCCCCGGCCTTAGGCCGGGTCATATGTTTTAGCTATTTTATTAAATGATTTATAATTGTTTTACCTTTTTATTTATAATTTAAAGCCAAGATATAATAATGTGCTGTAACCATCTTGATGGATGATGCTAAGGTGAATTTATAAATTGCTTCAGTTTGTAATGCCAACTAAATTCAATTTTAAGGTTGGGATGGTAAGGTGGATTTATAATTGGGGAGATGTTACTTCTGATGTGTATAAAAAAAGATGGAGTTGCTTGATTAAGGTTATTTCAATTGGTCATTGATATAATAGATGAATAGTCAAATAGGTTTTGTTAGTTGGTATTATCTATTTAGTCTGTTGTTTTCTACTTAGAGAATATGAGGTCACATTATATTGGTAATTATAATTTGATTTTTAACTTTCATGAAAAATTTGCCAATTCTTCCAGAATATTTTGTTTTAATTGGTCAAGATGATTATACAGGAGAATAGAAATTAATACTTATTTTTAAAGCCATTTATGAACTGTTCATGAATATGGTAATTTTTCTGTTATATTGCTGGATTCAATTTTATGAGGTTGGGTGACATAATGATGATGTTAAGGTGAATTTGTGGTTGCTGTAGAAGATGTTACTTTATATCTCTATTGTTTCTCTTTAAAAAGAGTGTCAAATGTCATAAATGCTTGAAGATATAATAATGTGCTGTAACCATCTTGATGGATGATGCTAAGGTAAATTTATAAATTGCTTCAATTTGCAATGCCAACTAAATTCAATTTTAAGGTTGGGATGTTAAGGTGGATTTATAATTGGGGAGATGTTACTTTTTACTATATTAGGATTTCTTTAATTTTTGAATATCACTTACACTTTATTCTACTGCAGAATGTATGACTTATAAAGTAATGAAAAATTATAGTCAATTTAATATTAATAAAATAGTTTCTTGACTTTATAACGACTTTTGTTTTAAACTTTACATAGAAATGAATCAATAATATTCTTTGTTTTTTCGATTTTCAAAACCGTTAGGTGTTCTAAACGGTTAATCTTATTTTGAGGTAACAGAGGTAATTTATATATTTTTTCTTTGAGTAACGGTTAAATTTTTTTATGACATTTGACACTCTTTTTAAAGAGAAACAATAGAGATATAAAGTAACATCTTCTACAGCAACCACAAATTCACCTTAACATCATCATTATGTCACCCAACCTCATAAAATTGAATCCAGCAATATAACAGAATGTTGTAAAGGAAAACTAATTGGAATCTTAACAACAATTATGTACCAACAATAAATCCGGTCTATTTTCTCTATTAAATCAAACATGTCTATTCTTCAAGAGGATTCAATTCCAAAGAAAGGGATAATTTAACTTCAAACATTAATATTCAAAAGTCTTCTCAATCCACCCAATTTAGACTCAAGGATTGCCTCCCTTTTTTTTCACCAGAAGTTATCTTACTTTCTTCTTTTTTTTCAATACTTATTTTTAAAACTTATTAAACAACTTGTTTTTAAAAATAACTTTTAATCTTCAATTAGTTCAACACTTATAATATATCAATAAATTTACATATAGACTTTTTAATATTTAACATTATAACCAATTTAACACTTATTTTATACATTCACGAATTTCCATATTGATTCATCTTATAACATTTAAATATTCAATAAATTCACATATTTTTTTAAACAACATTTAGCTTTCAATTAATTTAACACTTATATATATATTTATTCTTTCTTTCATTCACAACTATAATCACATATTCTCTTTTTACATGCACATTTTTTCTTTGTACACATTTATTCCTCACAATTGAACCAAATTAATTTTTTTTTTCTTTTTACTTTTTCATTTATATACTCTTCAAGACTCAAATTCTCTCACATTCCTTTTTATATCCCCATTAATACAAAATAATATTTCTTCTCCCTTTCATAAACATACCCAAAATAATTTTTTTTTCTCCCCTTTTATATATTGTTTCTTTTTAACAACATTCAACATTTCAACTAATTTAACATTTACATATATATATATATTTTTATTCTTTCATAATCACAACTCTCTTTTTACATGCATAATATTTTTTTTTTTATTTGTACACATTTATTCCTCACAATTGAGCCAAATCTTTTCTTTTTTTTACTTTCTTATATATATATTCTTCAGGACTCAAATTATCTTACGTTCTTTGTAATATCCCCATAAATACAACATAATTTTTCTTTTCCATTTCATAAACATACCCTAAATAATTATCTTTTTTTCTCCCTTTTATATATGTTCCTCAGTCTTTCAATCTTTTATTTACTTTAACCATTACATTTATTAAAACAAATAACCAACCTCTATCAAACACCAACCAACCCCAACAACCTTTATGCCCATTCTTTCCTCTCATATTTAATAACCTTATTTTTACAACATCATTATTCTCTGCAGATTATTTCTTCCTAGTCTCTGTCACATCGCCATTCTCAACACAATTATTCACAACCTTTCTTTATCCACACAATGGAACGCTGCCCCACGTGTTCCAAAAACATAAAAATCACCAAATCCGGCCTTTTCACCAAGCACAAATCCAAAGGCAGTGCTTGTCCTGAGCCTGGAAAGCGTCCTTCCCCTCCTTTCCAAAATCCCCTCTCCATTTTTTCTACTCACAGTTATACTTCCACCTCATCCAATAACGCCCACATACCAACCACATCAGACACATTCATTTCCCTCCCACCTACCACTC